TCCGTCGTTTAAGCTTAAAAATTCAGATTCTTTCAATTCTACTAGATGGAGAAGAAAGAGTAATGAATTCCGAGCCTAGAGCAACAAGAAATTTCAAGTTTAATTGATTAATCTGAGAGCTAAAGATCAAACCTAGGGCGGCCTCAAACGTTGGAATTTTTTTTCCCTGCTCACAAGGCAGCGCTTTCTCTACGCGAACACTCAAACCTTTAAAAATACGGAGTAAAAAATTTCGCTTCTTGTATCACTATTATTGTTGACACTAAAGTGTCATGACTTACCGACACTTTTACGTGAAATTTTGGTCAGTGACACTAATTTTAAGAAAGTGTCACTATAAAAGTGTCACTATAAGCCAGTTTTCTAGTAGTGTAATTTACTGATGCTGTGACACGGTTACTACCCCTGTAACCGGACAGCTTGACCCTACCAACCTTTCTGTCGCTCTGCAGCGTTTCATGGATTCCACCATTAAGCAATGGGTGCACGAAGCAATAACCGCTCGGGCACAGGAATTCAGGAACACCCCGACGCTGTTTAATGACATCATCCAACCCCAACCATCATCCTCACATACCCAACAAACACATCAACTTACCCATTTCTCCACCCGTCAAAACTCTGAACCTTCCACAACCCAACCTACCACTCTTACCACTTTAAGGGGAACCCAGGATACAGAACTAGTGTCCTCTCCTACATCGACCCCACTTTACCCTGACCCAAAAACTCTATCGTTCGAGGTTCTCGAAACCCTTATGCTAGAACAACTACTAGCTACCGAAGAAGGCAACCTAACCCAGAAACAAAAAGACCTTCTTCGGATCCTTAAGCCTGACAGCACATGTCGTGATAGTCTCCGTAGTCACAAACGTTCGCATGAGGACCCCGATGATTCGGATCCTCATGAGAGGCAACAGACACTTGTGCGTGATGCGTCAACAAGCCAACCTTCCACGCAAACTAACCCACCTGAATCCTCGAACAATCAGCCCCCACCATCCACTCAACACAAAAACCAAACAACCAATCTAGCCACTTCTAGCCCGGTCGAGCTAGACACAACACTCCTAGGTGCATCCTTTACAAGTGCTGTCCAAGGATGGAGTGGAAGTCCTGAGGTTGCTACTTCGAGTACACCATTCTAGTCAGGCCATCAGAAAGAACCTGGTTCTAATCTGATGATAACGGGCAATCCTAGTGATCCTAATGTTACTTTTGACAGATCGCCACAGCAACAACAAACTCCCTCTAGCCCATCTGATGATCAAACGCACGATGAACTTGAAGAAATTCTTGTTTATGACAAGTGGCCCCGCCAATGGACAGAGTGGGACGAACTAAGAGCGGAAGTAGAGCAAGATGAAATACAGGAAGGAGAGAACTTATTGCCAAGTGTGCTACTGAGATGATTGGGCTCGATGAAGATGAAATCAAGGAAGGAGAGAACTACAAGGAAAAATCCAAGGAGCCGGAACTAGTCACCAAGCAAAAGGAAATTAAAAAGCCCTTGGAAATTCTCAGAATCAAAGCCCCCTTTCTAGAGGAAATTCGAGAGCAAATATGGCGTCAACCAGAGAAAATAATAAAATTCAGTGAACTGAAAATTCAAGGACTCAACCATTTTAAAGAAAAATTCAGAGGCGGACACATCTTTATGCTTTACCAAAGATCAACAGGCGAACAACGCAGAATTCTGAATCATAATATGGAAACAAGCATAGTTCTTGTGTCAAAGATTCTAAAGGTAACAAAAGACTATCTCGAGACTATCAGGTTCTATACTTTCCAAGTACAGCGCACTGACGGGACCGAGTTCACCTGCCAAGAGAATGACTTCTTCTTACTACACATGGATGACATCTATCAGATGTTCATGGCATGCAGACAACTCCCAGTCCACAAACATAGAATTGCTAAAGAAGGCTTCGAGGCTATCAAAAGATTCATGACCAGACAAGTTCGATATTATGCTTCCCATGATCTCCAAATGGCCCTAGAAAACAACTATTCAAAGGCAAATCTCACACAACCAGACTGGAACAGATCTGAACTTGAACCCTACTCAGCATACCACACCTTTGACAATCCGGTCTCAGTCATCTATCTGAATCACAAAGAGGAGAAGCGCCTGATGTTGTTGAAGACATTCGCAAATACTGTGACGGGACTCTGAAGATCATCCGGGAACAGTTGCAACCAAGAAAAGAAGAACTTGATAAAAGACAGACTGAAGCCTCAAAGGACGAATTCAAGGAACTGGAAAGAGTTGATAATATTCTGAAAGCCATCGAAAAGCAAATCAACAATAGAAGATCACTCAGAAGCTACGAGCATGCACTCAATCTCAGAAAGCACTATTATAAAGCTCATAAGTGAAGAGTAGAAGAAGCAAGAACATCTAATCACAAAGGAGGAGATTGTTAGAGATATTTCAATTGTATTGTGATCAATGTTCAAATAGCCTTTTGTAACAGTTTATTTATTCATAGAATAGGCTTTATTTGATAAAGGCTCAATTGCCTAAATATGAATGGGCTTCCTTAAAGTTGGAGCCCAATCATTTGTTAACCTACCATTCTCCAAGGCTATACATATGCCCCTTAGGAGAATGAGTAGGTTAAGCTTTCCCAGATATTCCCATACCCTAGAGCCGCAGTGCTATTTTGGTGATAGAAGTTTTACGCTACTTTTTTCTATCATTCTGTAAACTTCATCATCTTCAATGGAAAGTTTCTTCTATTCATACTGATCAAATCTCATACATTGTAGAATAGAAAAGAGGGACCTAACATACTCTCAAAACCATCACGACTCGGGCCTACATGCCCGTTGAGGTCGCCTCCTATGACCAGCTTCTCTCCCCTTGGCACTCGTCGCACCACCTCCTCAAGATCCTCCCAAAATTGTTGAGTGATAGATGCATCCAATCCCACTTGTGGTGCATAGGCACTTACCACTGACACTATCTCATCTCCTATTATCAACTTAATGCTCATGATGCGGTCGTTCTTCCTAAAGACTTCCACCACACCCTCGACATAATCCTGTGCCACCATAATGCCTACTCCATTTCTGTTCCTATCTCTCCCCGAATACCACAACTTAAAACCTTCGGGATTGATCTCACGTGCCTTTTCTCCAACCCACTTAGTTTTTTGCATGCACATTATGCTGACATTCCCCCTTTTCATAACCTCAGCTATCTGAGGTGATCTTCCCGTAAGCGAGCCAACATTCCATGTCCCAAAACGCAATCTAGCACCCTGTCTTTTCTTCTTCACACCACATCGACTCTCACTATGCCCTTGCATATTTGACACCATCCCCGGGCATTGGAGTGGCATGTCGCTTCCGGGCGACGACCTAGCAACCTTAGCATTCTTATCACCACACCCAGGCCTATGAAGTGTAGCGCGCCCTTGCATATTTGACATCACCCCAGGCAGAGGGATGACACGTCGGTTACGGGCGACGACCTAGCTGTAACGATATTCATATTTCGATTCATGTCATGTGATGTGACCAAGTAATACTATTGGCAGTCACACGCCTACCACAACACCCTCCTCCTTTATCCTGGCTTGGACAGGCATAGTAGGTGAGAAAATTACAGTCCAAGTAAAAACATTCTATCTCACTAGAAAGGGAGGAGTTGAATGTAATTAACTTTTAGTTGGTGCAGAAAATTAAGTATGTAATTAACTTCATCCCTTTCTAATTGTTCATCCCACCCCTAAGACTCCCTCAAGAAATCGCCTAAAAAATTTACCGGAAGAAAAAACATAAACATGTAACAAGAAGAAAAAAAGGGGAAAATGAAAATAAACATAAAACATAACAAAAAGTAGACTGAAAAAAAGATCCTTAATAGAAAAAGAATGATTAAGAGGAGAAAATGAAATAAAAAAACAAAGAAAAAATGGCAAATAATCTATTTGGGAAGGAAATTATACAAAAAACTCTTTTAATAGAGTAAAAAATAAAATAATAATTATGAAAAAGAAATAAGAACAAAGGAGTGGGAAAATGAATTAAAAAGTATCAAAGGATAAAAAGAAAAGAAAGAAAAAATTTAAGAAGGAAAATGAAACATGTGATTGTTTCTAAAGAAAAAAAATAAATACCTTGTACTCCGTATAAATGTACTCCCCCATCTCATTGGTGTTTGCCAACTTTCCGTTTTTGGTTGTCCCAAAAAACTTTGTCACTTTCCTATTATTAAAGCAACTAATTTGTGGTTCTGCACATTTCTCTTTCCTCCACACAAATCTAGCTAAATCACACAATTTTTACTTTTCTCATCTTCAATGCTAAAACGTGAACGGTGCATACGTGGCATGAGAGACAGTCAAATAAATAAATAATAATAAATAGAATCTCCCTCTCCTTATTTGAAGGATCTTGTATCATTTTGGTAAGTTTTTCTTCCCAATGTCAAGCACAATATCTAGATGTAGACATTGTGTTTGACATTGCAGATGAAAACTTACCAAAAACACAAACCATGGAAAGAATGAGAGAGAAATATCATAAAATCATTTTTTTGAGTCTATCTCTCTCATACCACATGTGATGCACAAAGAGTAAAAGATATTCCGTATTGAGGTATGAGAAACTCAGAGTTTTCCTTTTATAGCCTGTTTGTTTGGAGGTTAACCTAAGTTATTGCAGGTTCAATTTGTAGTTAACCTCGTTTGTTTGTGTTTTTGCAACAAGAACCTAGGTTATGAGTTAACCTCACTTAACTCTTGAGAACCTAGAAACGCCTTAAATTGAAGAACCTCCAAAACGGGGGTTTTGGAGGTTAAGTTCTCGGTTAACATAAAATGAGCTAGAGTACCTTCATACAAACAATATTTATTCCATTAAACTAGGTTCACCTTATTTATTTCCAAACACTATTTTACGCATAAACTTAGGTAAACTTAGGATAAACTTATCTATTTCCAAACACCATTTCCAAATATAGTTTTTATTAAAACTTAGGTTTACAAGAAGGGTGATATATTACTGATGCGCGACTAAATTGCGGTATTGTCATATTGACTACTACGGAGTAATACTCTGCAGCAATTAGCAAGTTGTGTCCTCAAGAAATGGACTGCCTCAATCCGCCACATCTTCCGGTCAAGCCACCGCCGGCAATACCACCTGAAGCAGAAGATTCCGGATCCCAATACCGCAACGAAGAAAGCAAATCTGCGATGCAAAACTTCCGATCTCTTATGATGAAAGCAGTCATTGCATCTTTGGGAAACAACTCCCTAACCCTGGCGCAGAGCGCGGTCGTTGAAGAAACGCTTTGTCAGTGCTTCCCTCGTCTCAGAGCTCCTGATCATCCTCCTTACGCTTGGGCAAGTATCTGTTTGATCTTATTAGCTATTAAATCTTCTGCTTTTGTTTATTTATTTGGAAATGGGTTTTCTGTTTTGTGTTTGTATGTTAATCTTTTGAGTTGATTTTGTTTTTCATATCTTGTTTCGCTGGTGATTAGTAAAAGCTTGGCATTCTCCCTCTTATCAATTTTAGCTTATTATACGCTATTAAAGGACGGATTGTTAAGTTCTGGGGTTTCTTTCCGAATTCTATTAAACTTTGGTATCTGTTTGTCATGGGTTCATAACTTCCAAAAAGAAAATTCATGAAAGCAGGGTCCAATCATTATCTTGAGCCTCATTGCCTTATTTGAACTTGTTTGGATGGAGGGTTTAAAGGGAAAGCTTTTATGGGCCTAGTCTATATCTTAACAAATAGAATGTTTTTCTAAACGAATAAAGGGTTATTGCTATACGATCACAGATATACTCTGCATTGGAAGTTATACCCTTAGTCAAGTCTCTCTGGTTGTATCATGAAGGTTTAGGGTTAAAAATCACCTCTTGCAAAACAAGATAAATGTGAGTTATATTTTCTAATTACTTTGACTTCTCAGACACCCACTCACTCAAGGGCCACCCTGCGGTCTATCCAACCCCTCATTTGGTCTAATTCTTTTTTAATGCTAATTTATTTTTAAATACAAATTTTCGTAATAAAGAATTGCTTGGGACAAGAATCACAGATAAGAAATAACAAAACTTTTATTTTTCTTAACATTTAGTGTTATCATATTTTGCTTATGTGTGTCATTGTTAGCTTCTTAGCATGCATTAGTTCACCATAATTTGTGATAGTTTATTTTAAATTTAGTATAAGAAATGGTCTTTCCTTTACAAATCTGTGCAAGTTCCTGTTCTTGGCTTGACATGATTGAACCATGGCAGATGATTAGAACAGCAATTGAGAAGCTAAAAGAGGAAGGATGCTCGAGTGAGTGTGCAATATCAAAGTGCATAATGAGTGACAATCCCGACTTGCCATGGGCCCACCCAACTCTACTCAAATGCCATTTGACGAAACTCTGTGAGAAGGGCGATATCGTCCGGACTCAAGATGGCCTTTATTTGTTGAATGACCAAAATATTCTCATCCCGCATATTCCAAACAGCACTTTAAACAGTACTATTTGTAGCCTTAGCTTAGACCTGAGCTCGAATTCTCCTGACAGTGATAGCACTACCAGTGGTTCCCCAATGAGAAAACGGAGAAAGAGGAAGAGGAAATTAAAGAAAGTGGGAATCAAGAAGAGACTGGGAAGACCACCTAAGAAGAAAAACATCCTTTTGAAGCAAAAGAGGAAGGTTCGGGGTAGGCCTCCGAAGAAAGTAAAGTGGAACGAAAAAGTTTCTTCTTTGGAACAAGAATCATTTAATGCTATTGAAGCAACACATAACCAAATGGACGGGCAGAACATGGAGATACCCGTGGTCCCCACTAATATAGGTTTAGAGGTGAAAAAACTGGTGGTAAATGCCAGAAGTAGCTATAAAGGGAAAAGTAAAATGATTTCAGAAGCAGCTACAAAGGGAAACGTCCGTATGAAGCCAAAGAGGAAGGGTAGGGGTAGGCCCCCGAAGAAAGTAAATGGGAATGAAAATGTTTCTTCTTTGGAAGAAGAGGCATTTAATGCTACTGAAACAACAAATATCCAAATGGAGTTGCAGAACGTGGAAGTACCGGTGGTCCACATGGGTGCAGGATCCGATAATCAAAATCCAGTGGTAGAAGGAAGAAGTGATGTCATAAAAGCAGAAAATGAAAGACAAGAAAATGAGATGATGAAAGGACTAAATCCATCAAGATTGAAGAACACTGACAGTCAACCAGAAGCAGATGGGCAATTTGGTCAATTAAAAGAAAAAAATGGGATGAATTCAGAAACAGCTACAAAGGAAAACATCCGTATGAAGCCAAAGAAAAAGGGTAGGGGTAGGCCCCCGAAGAAAGTAAATGGGAATGAACAAGTTTCTTTTTTGGAAGAAGAGACATTTAATGCAACTGAAACAACCAATATCCAAATGGAGTGGCAGAGCGTGGAAGTACCGGTGGTCCCCACGGGTGTAGGATCTGAGGAGCAGAATCCAGTGGTAGAAGGAAGAAGTGATATCATAGAAGCAGAAAATAAAAGAGAAGAATTTGAGATGATGAAAGGACTAAATCCATCAAGATTGGAGAACACTGACAGTCAACCAGAAGTAGATGGGCAATTTGGTCAATTAAAAGAAAAAAGTGGGATGAATTCAGAAACAGCTACAAAGGTAAACATCCGTATGAAGCCAAAGAGGAAGGGTAGGGGTAGGCCCCCGAAGAAAGTAAATGGGAATGAAAATGTTTCTTCTTTGGAAGAAGCGACATTTAATGCTACTGAAAGAACGAATATCCCAATGGAGTGGCAGAACGTGGAAGTATCGGTGGTCCCCACGGGTGTAGGATTCGAGGAGCAAAATCCAGTGGTAGAAGGAAGAAGTGATATCATAGAAGCAGAAAATGAAACAGAAGAAGAAAATGAGATGATGAAAGGACTAAATCCAACAAGATTGGAAAACACCGACTGTCAACTAGGAGAGGGGCAAATTGGTCAATCAAAGGAAAAAAGTGAGATGAATTCAGAAGCAGCTATGAAGAAAAACATCTCTTTGAAGCCAAAGAGGAAGGTTCGGGGTAGCCCCCCCAAGATTTTAAAGATGAAAGAAAAAGTTTCTTCTTCTGATGAAGTGGCAATTAATGCTATTGAAGCAACCGATAAGCAAATGGAGTGGCAGAAAGTGGAAGTACAGGTGGTCACCACGGATGTAGTAACACAGGAGCAAAATGCGGTCGTGCGAGCAAGAAGTGATGTGATAGAAACAGAAAATGAACAAGAAGAAGAAGAACAGGAGGTGATGAAAGCACAAAATCCATCAGTATTGGAGATTAAGGACAGTCCATTAGAGGCAGATTTGAGTGCAGATGCTGCTAATAAAATGGGATTGCAAGAATATAACCTATCAGAATTAGTGGTGCCAATGGAAGAAGAGTGCAATCAAGAGGAGATTCTAATGGAAGAAAATATTGCAGAAGTAGAGGCTATGAATGGAAATCAAGCTGAGAAAGAAAGTAAAGAGGACAATCATCCGGGGACTATAAAAGCAGACAAAATGGTTCAGGGTTGTAGCACACATTTAATTGTACAAAAACTGGGAGATCAGGCTGCAAAGCAAAATTTAGCTAATGAGACCAACACGTCTGCAAAAGAGTCAGGAGTTCAAATAGAGAAGCAAATGAAGAATAAAGTTTTCAGAAAATGTTCCCAGAACGGGGGAAAAGAAATGGTTGCTTCTCCAAAAACTGATGACATTGGAGCAGGAAGGTGTCTTAGATCCAGAGGAAAGATTCAACCTGCACAAAGACTGGAGACTGTTCAGAAGACCACTATAATTTGCAGTGAGATCCCGAAACATGAAGGGTATGTTTGGATCACAGAGAATGATAATGAGAGGAAGGAAGTGTCAAGAAATGTTATACTTTCTTTATGTTTGGTGGAAAATGAAAGGGAAATTAAACATATTTTTATTTCTTTACATATTCTTTTTTCTAAACCCAGTGTTTTATTTTTTTACATATGTTGAGATTTTTAGTCTGTATAAAACAGGCATAAATAAATAAATATTTAAGAGACACATATTTCTAATATTTTAATAACATCTAGAGTATCTTTTTTCCTGCCTCTTATTATATCATATGACTAATTTTTCTCAATATTATCTTTCCTTTTTCCCCTAGTAATACCATGGTGCCAAACAGACCCGAAGAAACTGGAACAAAAGCGAATTGTCAACATGAAGAAGAAACAGTTGCTCGTGGAGATCATCATGGTCATGTGGTGGAACACACGGTTGAGTGTGATAATGAAATAATGAGCTTTCAATTCCAACAGAATAAGATAGCAGCTCCCAAGGTGGAAACACAACAAGCACAGTTTCAGCAACCGAATCATAGACAGTTAAGGTCTCGCACTCCCAAGATTGAGCCAGGTAAATCTTCAAATATTTTATTTTCAAGAAATATGAGTTTACAACTACGGCTTCACTTGTTTGTAGGGACATAACTTTCTGTGGGAAAGTTCTCTGAGGAAATTGCTTTGTATGAAGATGTTTTCATGGAAACTAAGCTCCTCTATACTTCAATATACTACGTATAATGTAATATTTGACCCAAAGACTAAAAAACATAAAAAAGAAGTTACCCTAAATAGGAGTAAAGTTGTTTGTAAATTTCAAATTTAGATTATTATGTTTTTATTCCCTAAATAGGAGTAATTTTTGTCATGTTTTGGGATTACCAGGCTTTAAACATGTCTGTATTTTCCAAACTTGGCAATAACTATTCCTATTTAGGGAATAAAAACATAGTACCCCTATTGTGTAATTCCAAAACGTTTTTTTTCCTATTTCAGGAATGTTCCCAACATAAAACTATTTGAGAATAACCACTTGGGATCAGTTTGGAGCCTGGAAAGTTTTAGCGAAACACGATACGGTAGCAAAGTAAAGGCAGAACTAGGGATGAAAGTTTGGGGAACAAAATAGATAGTCATGTCAACCTGAATGAATCAATTTAAAATATTTTGTTCAAACGTATCATATTTAAATATTTCTATTTTACAGAACGATTAAGAAATGTAGATATATTTGTAGACTTTTTAATGTTCAAATTTGATTTTCCTTTGTGTTTTTCATGGTAAAGCCAATCATTAAAAACTATTTTCTATACCATATTTTTCATTTTCCCTACCATTTTCCATGTACTAAAGCATAGCCTTAATAATTTCAAACCGAAAAGTCCTTTTTCTAAAAATGTACAAAGAATCATAGAATATAATTACCTTCAGTAAAATCTGGAAAACAAGATAAAATCAACAAGGCCATATTTCGTGTTCATAGATATGCAACTATATATGATTACCAAATGGCCATGGCAGGTGCTGAAGTGCAGAGAGTTGTGCAGAGGGTTTGTTCACTGCCGGCAATAAAAAAAGTTGATAGAAAAATAGAGCCAGGTAAATCTATGAATGTTTCTATATGCAGAAATAATCGTTATATTCTTTACATCTTTACTCCTCGGTGGTCCTTACTCCTTTATAACAGTGGAAGATTAAGTGTATTTTACTCACTTTAGTAGGCTTCATTTGTCTTCTGTGGTCAAAATGTGTTGAGTTTTGCGCAATGTTTTATATCATCTTGATAAATAAAGAAGGAATACTTTTCATAGGAGTATTCTTACAAGGAACACTTTTGTACTCAGTATTACTTTCACATTATAAGTCATGTTGCATGAAAATATGATACCTATCTATCAGAGTTGATAATATTTAACCACGAATGTCAAAAGTGATCATAAAAAAAATCTTTGTTTGGCTTGGTTAGGTTTAGATAAGTTGTGATTGTTAATCTAGGTAACTTTCTGAATATGTGTCACAGAAATTAAGTTGTCACTTAAATTGGACATAATGTTTGTCATTCATTGGTATGAAAGTATACATACAACACAACCAAGCCTTATTCCCGAAAGATTTTGGGGTCAGCTAACACGATTGATCCATGACATGAACCGAAATATGAATATGAAAGTATACATAACTGTACTAAATGGTCTTGGCAGGTTCTGAAGAGAAGAATGTTGTGCAAAGCGCTTCATCAGCACCGGCAACAAGAATTGTCACTAGGAAAATGGCAGCTGCTACGGCCAGTTACATTTCTCCAGATTTTTCACTTGATGAAAAGAAACAAGAACAGCAGAAGACAAAGAGTTTCTCAAAGAATCAAGTAGATGAAGTAGTATCTTCCATGCCTAGACGCTCAGCGCGCCTTGCTATGGAACAGTAAAAATGGAGTCAAGTAGCAGATTTGAGGAATGCAGCATTGCTCTAAGGGGAGAAAGCATGGTAATAATACCATCACACTTTTTTTTTCCCTTTGATATGCTTATAGCATATGTGGGCATGTACTTTAATCTATGTTTGAAACCTGGAAAATGGTAGGACACAAATGCTTAGGAAAACAAAATTTTATAATGCTTGATTTTATCATACGAAGGAAAACCAACTGCAACAGTCAAAACACTTTGCGTATGCTTATAACTTATTAGTACATATATATATATATATATATATATATATATATATATATATATATATATACTTCCTCCGTTCTTTTTTAGTTGCAACGGTCAACATTTCACACTTGCCAACGCACATCTTTGACCGCAATTATATCTTAATCTCTATTAGTAAAAAATATTTAAAAATTAAATTTTGAAAATTTGTAATGAGATGAATTGAACAATATAATTTTTAAAAAATAATTTTCATAAAATAATAATATAAAATGTAGTTAAAGTAGAACATGTGAATAGTGTAAAATTCAACATGTTGCGATTAAAAAGAGACAGAGGATAGTATATATATATATATATATATATATATATATATATATAAACAACTAAACAAATGAGTTAAGAAAAACATCTAAATTAAGTTATCGAGTTTGAACAATGTTGTTTTATTTCCACCTAATGCTCTTTTACTGCAAATTATCTCTATTTTCATCCATATTTTCTTTCTGTTGGATTTTCTCAATTATAAAGACTCTTAGGGTATGTTTGAGAGTTTGGGGGGGAGGGGATAGCTTTGTAGGTTAGTCATGGGAGGGGAAGGGGAGGGGAAATGAAAGAAATCATTCTTCAGCTTTGTACTTAGTCCCAAAATTTATCATTCTGCACTAAGTACAAATTTTCTCAGTATTGATAAATTATAATTACTTTCACTGGTTTTCAGATTAAAGAATTAGATGAGCCATAAACCACATAATACTATTTTATAGACGAAAACTGTTCTAAGAGTATATGTTGAAAAGAAACTCGTGTGATTGGTCTGTAGCCAATTATTTTGTTAAGCCAATTATCAGATGACTCTAAGTAGCAGGTGCATGATTATAGCTAACGACGTGTGCACGTTTTTCTCTCTTGTTTCAGTACTATTATTGCACTTGTTTGTTGTACACCATAGTGCACATAAAGAGGCAACACCTATAAATATAATTTTCAAGATAAAACCAGAGTTCACATATAGGGAGGGTTAGGGGGTAAATGAGGTTATATAAGATGAAAAGGATGAAATGTTGTATCAATATTATTTGATCAATTGACATTGTATCACTTAATGAAAACATATTTACTCCCCAAAAGTACTCATAGTAACTCTAAGTAAGTTAATGGAATCATCACTCGTAGTAAATGATATAACTAAAAATAATCAAGTACTCAAAGAATTTGGCTTAGGGAGCTCATCATCATTTTCTAATGAGTTTGTGGTGGAGAGTTTTGCTGCTTTGTATGAATTTCTACGTTTGAATGAGTTTTTACGCTTTGGTGTGACTCATTTTAATTTTTTTGAAAGGAAAAGCCAAACTTTATTAGATCAAGCTATCGTTTGCCAACTGGCTCAAAATACCATTGGTGTGACTTGTTCTGTGTTTGAATGAATTTATAAAGGTTAAACTGTCAAATTAGCCTCTGAAATATACCAAAAAAGTCAATTGAGCTCTCGAAGTAAAATAACACCCAATTAAGTATTCAAAGTATAAAAAAATGATCAAATTTGTAACCTAGCAGGTTACAAATCTCGGTTATCCGGTAAGCTGACGTGGCATACCAGATGTCATTTTTGACCTTTTTCTTTATTTCTTTCTCTCTCTTTCATTTTCCTTCTCTTTCCCATTTTTTCTGGGCTCACTTCCCCTTATTCTTTAATTTTGGCCCCACCTCCATCTTCTTTTCTTTGTTTCCCGTCATCTTCTTCCTTGCAGGATCATGTTACCCTTTCTTCTATGGCTACTTTACTTTCCACCAGCTCCAGAATTAGTTGCATCGTTGCTACTGGGTATCAAAGAAGACCTTGCATCGTTGCTGTCGGAGACGGGGGCCTTCAATGGTTCGGGAGGGGGGTTGATTGATGCCGAGATCTGGTCAGCTTCTGCTTTCATCTTCTCCAGTGATTTAAATATATTTTTGTTTTAAATATATTCTTGTTTTATTTCGTTTCCATCTTCTCATAAATGCTCAATCGGGTGATTAATTAGAATTATCTCTGCAATAATCTACAATCCTCAAAAGCTGCCAGGCCATAAAAGAACCTCCCTTCCCATCTTTGTATAGCAGTGAATCATAAATGCCAAGCCAGGGAAGAAAGGAATAGTTTGTCGTTAGTGAAGGAACCCTCCGAGAAGACCTCATATGACGTTGGACGCCACAAAGACAGAACCAGCGGGTCTGCCAGACTGAAATTCTGCTGCCCCATCGATCTCCACCTGTAGATGCGCCGAAGTCTGGTACTCCTCCCCCTTCTGTGTTGTTCTCACCGTCCTCTGTTTTATTCATCACCATCTTCTTGAACCCCCATTGTGGAGTGTGACCTTGTCTGACGGGTCGGTGTGTGACTGGCTGAAGAAGAAAGAAGAGAGGGGTGGGGTGGGATGGGTTAAAGAAGAAGAAGAAGGGGTGGTGGGGCAGGGTTGAAGAAAATGAAAGCAGGGACTTCGTTTGCTTGTCGCGAAGGAGAAAGGAGGTAAAAGAGAAAAGGAAAAAAGAAATGAAAAAAAGAAAAGGAAAAATATTAAAAATACATTACCTGTATTCCACATAAGCGTATGACTGGCTAACCAGAAATCAAAGGTCCAAATTAGAAATTTGTCGTTTTTGAATAGTTTATGGATTTAATTGGGTGTTTTTTAGTTCAAGGGCTTAATTGACTTTTTTGACATACTTCGAGGGCCAATTGACAGTTACTCCATTTATAAATTTTATTGTAAAGAAATCACCTTAAATACGAATAAAGCAATGTGAAATTTCAAAATAGGGCCACTGTTTTATTTTCTAAATAAGAGTTGTTATTGTCATGTTTGGAAATTATTGTCAATTATGGTATTAATATTGTCATGTTCTAGGACACCATGTAATTACTTCTATCTAAATAGAAAACGGAGTATTCTTTTGGAATCTTACATTTACTCCTATTTCAGGAATTTGCTCATTATTATATGCATTTTAGAGATAATGTGTTATACGGAGTACATTTTGTACGTGCTCATAGAGTTTATCTAATAATGTTCATATTCTCTGGAACAGAATGTAAACATAATTGCCACAAGGATGATGACTTATGGTGGCAAGCATTGGCCTTGGCGGCGTTGAACCTAGACGGCGGCGGAGATAGTAATATTAAAAGTAGAATTTAGGGAGAGGTGATAATTGAGCTTTTAAATGCTACTCCGTATAAGTGTTTGGCATTCAATGGTAGTTGTTAGCTGATAGTGGGTTGAGTTCTATCCGTGCATTGATGTCAATAGAGTCTAGTTTGATTAACCGTTATCATTAGCAGATTAGCAAATTGAAAATTGAAGTACAATAATTCATAACTTGGTTGTTCAAGATTAGCTATTTAGAGTTGAGACTATTAAAAAACTATTAAGAACCACCGATCCCCTCGAAGGCCTCGATTCGTTTAATATCCTCAAGAATATTATATTGTTCCAACAAATCCTCAACCCTGGCCACTAGGACTGACTAGGCATGGACCGGTTCCGGTCGGCCCGGCCTCGGAACCGGCCCGACCCGCCACTATGCCGGCCCGGACCGGCTCGGTGAATCGGCCTGGGAACCGGGCCTAGGACTGGCCCGGTGTGTTAGAGCGGTCTGGTTCCGGGCCTACCCTTCCTTTGGAATCGGCCCGGCAGGGCCCGGTTCAAGCCTTTTTTTTCAATTTTTTTTGTTTTTCCCGGGTTGGGCTAGGTGCTTGGGGGTTCAGGGGTTAATTAGAAAAGCAAAAAAAAAAATGAATCGGTCCGGATTTGGTTGCAAATCGGGCCAGTTCCGGGCTGGCCCCCAAAAAATAAAAGCCCAATTTGGACTGGCCTAGAACCGGTCCATGCCTAGGACCGATGGAACTGCATCAATGTTGTTTTGTCTTTTCATTCATATTTTTACTGTACACTCTCCACTCCAAAACTAATTCATAAGGTTGAAGTCAATTCAACCTCAGACATTGTCCCTCTAGTTAGGGTTTTAGTTCTTGCGCCGATTTAATAGATTGGGCGGTTTTCGATTCGGAGTTTTCTCCTGCGACGAGTTTTTTTGGTGCGAACAAGGAACAAAGACAACAATAGTGAAAGGATGACATCATCGAGTAAAGGTCATGAAAAAAGCTTGGGGTTAAAAGCTAGAACAGATCTGAATTCAAGGTCACACCTTTTGTCTGATTCTCTCATTTCTCACGCGGTCCTTCCTAGTATGCCCACACATCCAACGCAACATGTGCATCTCTGCCACACTCATCTTTTGGATGTTACATTGTTTCACCGCCCAACACTCTACGCCATACATCAATGCAGGTCTAATTGATGTCCTATGAAATTTACCCTTCAGTCTGGTCGGCATACCTCTATTACATACAAATCCTGACGCACTCTTCCACTTCATCCACCATGTTCTGATTCTATGGGATACATCTCCATTTAGCTCACCGTCCTTCTGAATTATGGAGCCCAAGTAACGGAACATATCACTAACCAGTATCTCCTGACCATCTAGAGTAATTCCACTATTACCATTGATTCTACCCCCACCAAATGGCACTCCATGTACTCTGTCTTGCTCTTACATAGTCTGAAACTCTTGTTCTCCAATGTTTGTCGTCATACTTCCAACTTTGCTTTAAGACCCAATTGCGTCTCATCAATCAATACAATATCGTCAGCAAACATCATGTACCACGGTATTTCGTCTTGAATTGACTTCGTTAATTCATCCATGACTATGGCAAATAAGAAAGGGCTCAGAGTCGATCCTTGGTGCACATACCGTCAGGGAACTCTGTAGTCCTCCCTACATGCTGAGTTAGTGAATCAAATATCAAATTTCATATCAATTCGTCTAAAGATAAAAACCACCCTTTAATTATAATCCAGATCGAAGCCTCGAAGGGTGTATTTTTTTAATTATAATGGTTTCCGGAGACTTCAAGATGTTTTTCCAGATTGTTTTGGCTATTCCTCCGCCCAATTTTGCTGTGTCACCATGTGGAGGACGCTGTTATCACATAACATTCACAATAACAATGTTGACATTATTTTTTTACACGTCATCATCACATGAGTTTAGACAGGATGTGTTGGAGCAGAAAATCTTACCAATAGTGTTGACATCAATTACGTAGTAACTTTTATTATTGTGAACATCTTCCCATTGGAGATGCTCTAAAGTGGAAATATGCGAGTAAATGAGAGAAGCTTATGTTGTGAATATATTTAAAATTTGAGGGAATGGGCAATGGGAATATATGTCTTATGCTTAAGTCCACGATGCTTCTTCTTCCGCTGGAGGAAAAGTTGTGGCGTTAAAGGATGTCGATTGAATATGGTGAAGCCCATTTGAAGTAGTATGGTGACTAGGGTTGGGTCCGAAAAACCGAAAACCGAATCAAATTAAATCGAACGGAGCCAAATAAAACCGAACCGTTAAGAAACCGAAACCGAATGTAAAAACCCAAACCGAGCCAAAGTTGTTTAGTTCGATTTTGGTTTTTACCCTTCAAAACCGAACCGAACAAACCGAACTATTCAAAATATGAAATTTATATGTTAATTTTTAAGCATTAATTCTAATTAATCTTAATATCATCAATAGTCTTTGGTTTTCTTGTGTTAGAGAAATAATGTTTGTTTTATGTTTAATTTAATTTAATTTAATTTATAAATTCATTTACACATTCATTGTCTGTAATAATGTAACTATATTGAATGATGATAATATGTGTTTACTAGTTATTAGTAGTAGTTAACTTTTATTTTTAGATAACTTTAAGATTTTATATTGATAAAACAATAAATATTCATCTCAACTATATCACATAGAACGTATATATTCATGAACTTTTTTCGTACTACTCATAAGCAAATTAAATCAATAATATATACAATTTTATCTATCTCGCATACTCATATAATTTAAGACATATTTATCTCTTCTCGTTTTTATTTTATTTGTTGTTGTGTTGTGGCTTGCATTCTTTTTTTTTTATCAAAGGGTGCTTGCATTCTTTATGTAATATGTTTGATCCCTCTAAATATTATATCAATTTTAAATCAAGTGAGAATTTTTTGGTAAAAACCCGAAAAAACCGAAACCGAACCGAAACAAACCGAACCAATCAAACAGTGGTTCCAAGTTTTGGAGTGTAAAACCGAACCAAAATCAAACCGAACTTTTTACTTTGATTCTATATTTGGTTTCAGGTCAAATCGAACCGAAAGAAACGAACCCACCCCTAATGGTGACATGTACACACAAATACACACACCCTCGCACATACACATACATACTTGTAAGATGAGGACAATTCATTTCAGTCCAGCCCAATGAGACTCGCCATCCGACCAAGAACATTTGGGATCTTTTTCGATGGAATTTTTTGATGAATTTATTTAGCATTCTACTTATGAAATCTCGTTTATGCCGACAAAATTTAACGAAAAATTCAATGGGAAAGTCAATGAAATGTAAAATTAAAAAACACTGCGCAGTTTACATATATTTTAAAAACAATGTTTGTAAACAACTTATTTAATTGTCTTTTCGATTGTTTTTAAACTAAAACTTAGCGGGTATAAAAAAGACTTGTCGGGCTGACAGAGTCGCAACTCCAAATATGATCACCTTGTTCTGCCGAAAATTGCCGTCTGGACTTGTCTATTTGGGATACTTTCGGGTGGAAGTTTTTGATAAAATTTTGTTAGCATTTTCCTCATAAAATAATGTAGATTATATATACATATACATATATATATATATATATATATATATATATATATATATATATATATATATATATATATATATATATATATAATTTCAATTTCAGACTGAAGCAAGAATCAGTAGAATATATTACAGAGTATTAAAATAGACTACATTTATATACATACATACACACACACACACACACACACACAAATATTCCTGTCTGGAAATTCCGGACAGGAACCCCGTCCGGCCTCCTCCATTTGGAGGCCTTCCCGGTGGTACTTTTTGCTCAACTTTTTTGTGTATGTTCCTTATCAAGTCTAGTTCATCCATACCAAATTTAAGAAAAACATTCAATCGGGAAGGTCGTCAAATGATTTTTGCAAGTTAACTGGTCCAGAATATGTATTTTCCGGACTAGTTAACTTGCAAAAATGATTTGACGACCTTCTCGATTAAATTTTTTGCTCAAATTTGGTGTGGATGAACTAGACTAGATGAGGAACATACACAAAAAGTTTGAGCAACAAATACTACCGGGAAGGCCCCCAAATGGAGGAGGCCGGACGGGGCTCATGTCCGGAATTTCCGGACTGGAATAGCACTCTATATATATATAGGGGTTAGTTCATGTGAGAACACCCTCTTAGGAGAGCAAAAAAGAACAAAATATAACCATTGATATGATTGATCTAATGGACATAAAAAACATGATCATAAATTATTAGCCCCATTATTCGGCTAATTTAGTGGATTCGGAAGGGAAAGTCTAATATTAATCGACATCAAGGGTGTGATTGTCTAATCATACTCAAAACCGTATTCCACGTTAGGCGTATATTGGCTCTTTCCTATTATTTAGCAAATCAATTACCATGTAATGATTGTGACCATATATTGCTTTAAAAAGTTTTTCAAATACTTTTTAAAACTTAGTAGTCCACGTATCTCAACATTAAATGCTTTTAATGTTTGGTTTTTAAATTACGAATTTTCATAAATTCATATTGAACAAAAATTCAGTTAAAATAGGTATAAATAGCATGCTAAAGTAAAGTGCATGTGCATAATGTAATGATCATAAGTATTGTGTAGTATATAAAATTGGAGTGCATAAAAAACTAAGTGCATTTGAAGGTTTAAGAAAATGCACTTATCGGTGAAATATTTTGCACTTTAAATATCTTTTGTAATAAATGAAATGTTTACTTTGCACTTTTTATAAAATTAACATGCACTATAACCGCGCAGTTGTGCACATCTATACAAGATTTAAATAAAAATTAATATAAATATATAATCGTGTTTGAAGAACTTTGCACTATTAGTAGTTTACATTAGTGAATCCATTCTTTAATTTAATGAATATAAAGTAAATAAAATGTTAATTACGTTATTTTGCACAATTATAAATTGCATTTCTCTATGATTTCCTTGCATTTTCTATAACATTTATGGTTTATCCGATCCATGTACTACTCGCACATTTCCAAACATATTTTAAATAAAAATGACTTTAATTAAAAATAAAATGAATATAAATATACAAGGGTGGAAACCAAACAACTATCTTGTGCATTTTAATGAAATATATCACACTTTCTAAAGTTTTACATGTCATGTTCTTATAAAATGAAATGCACTTTTACAATGTGCATATGATATACATACTATGACAATGATACATACCACCGGACGTCTGATCAATGATACATACAACTTTTATTTTATTATAATGTAGATTAAACTTGATCAAGTTTTATGGGACTGGTGAAGTATATATCATTCATATTATTCAAAAATTTACTTTTTCGTATGTAAAATATATTTTCCCGTGCGATGTAAAACACTAGTTAGAAATAAAAATCTATTGTAATGGCAATACAAATAATAATCTTTTGTAATCTTTTGTAATAGACTGCTTCGGAAATCTTTACTATCCTTCGAATATCTTCTGACAATCCAAATTTGTCTTAATGAATTCACATTTAATCCTATAATCCATGAATGTTCATTTTTCGAAATGACTTATTTGCCATTACAATTAATAATCTGCATTGATTATACTGAGCTAATACTAAAACAACATCTTCTTCAATATCATGCACGGCATTTGACAATTAATACTACATAATTTGATGACATTTCATACATAACCAGATCTGACTTTTCCAAAAAGACTCAATTCTTAGCAAACAAAAAGAGCAAGAGATGTACTGGCATTTGGAGGCGGGTTTGAGAATAAGATATTCGAAGGATAGTGAAGATTTCCGAAGCAGAAATTCTATCTCAGAATAGAACTAAGACAAATAAATCACCCGGAAACCAAGCCTTCGAAAAACAGCAAAACCGTACTATGATGCCATCGTTATTTTGATGTTTGGCTGGATGATTCTCAGGGCAGCCCGCGGAGAACCCGCGGGTATTTCAGAGCTAATTTATTATAAGCTCTCCCCTTTTCTTGATTCCAGCCCTCTTCATTATCATTATTTGCAGAAAACATTAGAATTTTTTGAAGAAAAAAATGAAAGAATTTGGAGAAGAAAGAGACGAAGAAGGACGCCGTTTTGCTACTAAACCCTATTATGATAAAAGAAAATGTGACCATTTTATAGGGATACTGGTCTGGGCTGATCAGGCAGTCCAGCCCGTTGATGAGTATCGGCTATTAATCTTATCGATCATTTCATTATATCACGGTCCATTTTTGAAGACAATAACAATGTAAAAAAAGACTCACTTTAATGTATTCATTGTTGTAAAATCCTGGAAGTGACAAATGTGAATATTTCATCCTTATCATCATTCTTGTAATTCTTGTAATTAGGACATTAAGCTTCTTACCATTCCTGTAATCATAGATAGATAGATGGCTAGTTTTAGGGTCTGTTTGCAACAGCTTCTGCTTTTAAAAAAGTGCTTTTTTTAATGAAATGGGAAGAAGTGATTAAATAAAAGTTGATAGTGTTTGAGAAAAAAGTGATTTTGAAAAGTAAAAGTGAGTAGTGTTTGGTACAATAAGTGCTTTTTGTGTAATAGAAAAAGTAAAAGCACTTTTGACGCGGAAGTCGAAAAAAATAAAAGTTGTAGTGTTTGGGAAAATAAATGTTTTTTAAAACCAAAAGCTGAGAAGTGCTTTTTTTAAATTAGTTGCAAACCAACCCTTAATGATGCCAGCAAGATGTGCATAATTACTCCTAGATGGCAAGTCATCACCAAGTCCAAATAGTATAAATAAGGCTTGATCAGTCACTTGTAAATTCATTCATAAACTTAGAAATTTTCAGATTAAGAAGTACTCCCTCCGTCCCATTTGACTTTGCCAACTTCCCTTTTTTTGTCCCAAAAAACTTTGCCACTTTCCTATTAAAGCAACTAATTTGTGGTTTTGAACATTTCTCTCTCCTCTGCACAAATCTCAACCACAAAGTTTTTACTATTCTTATTTCTCACCTACTTTGCACTTGGCAAATTCCACCGAGACGGAGGTAGTATAATTTTAGAGTTTATTAATAATATATCTATCTCTTAAATATGTTCTCTATCTTCTTCATTTTACAATACGTTATTAGCACGAATTTACTCAAAAGCCTTCAAGATATTTATTCCCCTGCAGCACGAATTTGCTCAAAAATACTCCAAGAACTCATCCAAAATCGTCATACATTATTTTATCTTCAAATATATTACGAAGTGTTGTAAAATCCTGGGAATAACATGTGTGTGAATTATTCATCTATCCTTGTAAGCAGCATACTCATTAGGACACCAAGCTTTTCCTGATCCTTGTAATGATCCTTGTAACCTAGTTAGAACAGGTGGTTTAATATGCTATTGCCACCAAATCTGTAGACTCATCAAATAAGTGACTCATCATCAAGCTCAACCAGTATAAATAGTGGCTTGATGAGGTCTTGTAAATTAATTCAAGCAATTCAGAAACTCAGAAAATTTCAGAGATTATTAAGAAGAAGTTATTTAGAGCTTTTTATCAATATATCTATCTCTTTATTTAGTCTTCATCTTCTTCATTTCACAACACGTTATCAGCACGAATCTGCTCAAAAACTCTTCAAGAAATCATCATCTCCTGCGGGTATTAGCATAAATATTTATTATCTTATTTTGGTATTTAAAACCAGAAATGTATGCTCAGTTTTGTTTAAAACTAAAAACTCATACGTTTCCTATAAGAAAATAATCAAATCAAATATACATACGTACCTTTAGAATTTTTCCTTAATCTGAATAATTCTTGACAAAAGAATGGAGACGAGAGTTCGCCATAATAAAGAACAAGTGAAAACATCGCACTGATAGCTCAGCTCGTAGGCAACGTAACTCTTGACTTAAATAATAATTTTTCATAACAACAATACCCTAGTCTATGATGAAGTGAAAACTAAGTAAAAGGAAAGAAAGATGATACAGAAAATAAACGGTAGATAGATAACCAAGAAATCGGGTGGAGATAAAATTTAGCTAGTCAGACTTAGGGGCTGTTTACTTTTTTTTTCATTAAGTCCTGAATGGATTAAGATGTCTGTCTGCATTAAGCTGTCTGTCTGGATTAAGTAACAGTAGAATAACAAACTGTTTACTAAGTGTGCTGAATGAGAAGTCTGAATCACATTAAATGACCAAATAACCCTTCTGTCTGGAACAAGTGCTGAATGTATATTGTCTGTTTACTTTCTATGTTCTGAAATATAATTTCAGATGCCCGAGAATAATAATGCTACAAATTATTATAATAAAAAAGTCGCATTACATGATAAGAAAAAGTCATTTGTCTTAACGAGAACAACAATTTAAATTTAAATGTTTCCTACTAGTCTATTAGCGATTTCATTCCGCAAATTCGTCATATACTGTAAACTTTGTGTGCCCCATTGTGCTGCATGCACTTCTTCTCCAATATCCTCAGGTTCCTCTTGTGCTTCATTGTTGGTTGTATTGTCATCTTCCCATTCTTTGAAAAAATCATCATCAATGTTCGACTTTCTAATAAAATTATGAACGGCAAAACAAGCAATCACCACATTCCTTTGTATCACAAATGGATAAGGAGCCATCTGATCTAAGATGGGAAACCTTGCTTTCAAGACACCATAAGTACGTTCAATCACATTCCGGAGTTGTGCATGCGCATGATTGAATCTTTCTTCTTTAGTCAATGCACGACGACGACGATAATCTGCTAACCAGTACCTTGTGTTACGATATGGAGCTAAAAATCCACGAGTGTTTGCATACGCAGCATCATATATATAATATTTATCTGTAACGAATTTCGGTGTTAATTTTTTTAATTTTAATTAAAATCATTTAGTGAAAGAATAAATAATGATACACACCTTGTGGAGGAAGTGGAAAGCCGGAATTAGGATTGAATACAACTTGCGTTAGTACTCGAGAATCATGTGCTATTCCTTCCCAACCAGCCCAAACAAAAGTGAATATCATATTGAAATCACAAATTCCTAAAACGTTTTGATAACACCGACCCCCTCCTCTTCCTCTATAAATAGTTTGCCTTTCAGTGGGCACAATTGCGTGTACAAGAGTTCCATCTAGTGCTCCAATCGCTCCCTTCATAACATAATGAAAATATTTAATACATAATTTTTTAAATATAACTATGAATCAAATGTAAAATGAGAACATACCGGAAAAATCTCTCTCAAACGTTTTTGCCGGTTTGACAAATTTAGGACTGAATCAGGCGTTGTTGGTACTATCATTTCTTTTGCAAATTCCATCATTCCTTGTAGAACTTCATGAAAACATTTGTGAACGGTTCGTGTAGAGTGTTGGAATCTCCTTTTGTTCACTCTAAACCTCTGATTGTTTCCGATGGTTGTCAAAAATAACGCCATCTTTTCCTCAACACTTATATGCTTACTATCACTCAACCAATTTCTTTGTCTAAAATGGTTGCATAATAGTACATATCCGGCATGAGAGACACGCATTAATTCCACACATTGTGTATTAGAACCATCTAGTAACTCCTGTGTGTAAGCATGTCCAGTTAATGCAGAAGTGTTATCTCTTATTCTTGGCATTCTTAGAGTAGAATTTTTTCGCCTCAAATAATAATACACAAGCATTAGGATTAGAAGTTGCGCCTCAAGATCCATATTAACCTTGCAAAAAAGTACAAATTAGATATTTATAAATAAACATTGCATTCTTAGATGTCACAAAATCTAGCAAGTGTCACAAAAACATATATTAGTGTTTAAACAAGAAATAGTTTATCCTAGAACGGAGTAAAAAATGGGAATCAAGCAATATAGAATCAACTATGGAAGAATTGGTAAAGAAAGGAATTTGATATATGATGATCAAGAAGAAGGATCTTCACAATATGCTTTTGAATTACAATGTAGAGACTGAATGTATGTGTATTTGTGACTCAATGTGCTGATTACATAGAGCCTCTAGATATTTATAAGAGATACATTTAATGCACTTTTGTCCGTTGACGACATGATCCGACCGTTACGACGACATGTCCGACCGTTACGACGACATCAATATCGTCATTATTGCATCATCAATTCTGGCCAGCCCTTTGAGTAACCTATGCCATAATTACAATAACTACTCTAATTATATACATAAAACTGTCCAGATTTAATTAGCTAGCATTAATCCCAATGAATACGTCATTGATTGCCACGGTCAACCATTTTTGAATGTAGTCAAGGCCGCCCAACTCGTGTACCAACAATTGCCCCCTTTTCGAGAAGTTGAGGTGAATGATACTCACGTCCGTCGACTTGTTTCAGAAACAACTTGTCGAAAATTTGAAAGTACACTTCACATCTTGGTCCATTGCATCGTCACATATTGATCAACTTGTCTAACTTAAATGCTTTCCCTCCAGCATTGTGTTGACGGTTAGATGACAGAAATTTGTAACAGCATTACGTCGATGTCGACACCTCAGCTGGCAAAGGGAACATCATCCGTCGTTAAAGATGACGAGTTGTGTTGCGTGAACATAGTCCATAACCTGCAAAAACTTTGAATAACGTTTCATTTGTAATTTTATCAATATCGTCAACATGTGTTTATGATTTGTATCCATGTCGTTCGTAGTGTCTCCTTTTTGGAGCTAATGTTGTCACACTTCTGTTGCGTATTTTTGTAGTTTTGGATGTGGTTGTTGTTCCACATGACGATGTCATTTGTATGTGTACTGTTGTTGCTTTGTGTTTGTCTGACTTTGATGTTGTCAGCATTTGTGATGTATGATCTGTCTGTTGTTTTGGCCAAAACATTGTGGAGAATCGGTGGTGTTTATACTCATGTTTAGCGTACATGAAAACCCCACTTCTTCCCCTAAAATTCTGTAAGCCCCCCGTCAATTGTGTCTTGACGTGTTGTAAGGCTTTGTATGTTAGGATTCCGTCATCGTCAATTCTTGACTGTACCTGTGCAATAAATATTTCGCTAACGTCGGCCGTTGGCTAAAAGCCAACGGCCCTCCGATGCTTAAGTCAGTAATTGTGAATAGGTATGTATAAAAAATTAGTCCTCAACATTGCGAAACTACTTAGTCAAATTCACGTCATTTCAACTTAATGTTTCAAAAGTAATTTTGCACTTGTCAAAGTGAATAAATGAAGAAAATATTAAAGTGAGGGGTGAGTAAATTGCTGTTGCATACCCTGATAGTGTCCTGATCCTTTGCTTCATTATTTACTTTCCTGTTCTGATTAGGCGATCTCGGTGGACTTGAAGTTAAATGATGTCGTCGTCTAACTTTTAGTTTGATGTCGTCATTCACCACTCAGTTTCATGTTGTCTATCAGTAAATGGTTTGACGCCTTTAGTCTGCAACCTAATCAGACACGTAGCTGGGGCCTGGCCGTTGGCTTGAAGCCAACGGCCCTCCGATGCTAAAGTAAAATAGTCTAATACTTTTACATTGATTGTAGGTGTGTATTATCTCTAAGGAGTCAGATGTATTTTCATTTGTCAAGGCGGGTGAGTAGATTAAGATGACATTGAAATAAAATAAGAGCAATCTATTGTCGAGTACCTTAATTCAGCTGACTTAATGTCGTCATCAGAAGTCTATATGATATTGTCATATAGGATTTAGCTTGATGTTGTCAATCTGTGACTCAGTCAAATACTTTGTTGGCCGTTGGCTTGAGGCCAACGGCCCTCCGACGGTCAAGTTAGTAAGAGATTCAAAAAAAAAACATAAGATGAATACTGAAGTAGATAATTATATTAGAAGTGGAAAGGCTTTAGGTGTACCGCATTCCAGCTCCTTAGAACTTGTTTACCGTCAATGCTTGTCAGACGGTATGCCCCCTGCCCGACGACATCTGTAATCTGATATGGGCCTTCCCAGTTGGGACTGAATTTTCCACTTGCTTCGTTGCCAAAGGACTTTCTGAGTACCCAATCGCCTTTCTTGAATACTTTGGCTCGGACATCTTTGTTATAGCTTCTTGCTACCCTTTGTTGGTAGGCTGCCATTTGTACTTTAGCTCTTTCTCTCAATTCGTCGATAGTGTCAAGATCGTGAACCAATTCTGCGTTGTTTGCTTCTTCTGTGATAAGTCCGTACCTGGATGTTGGCACTTCGACTTCGACTGGAATGACAGCTTCGCATCCGTACACCAACGAAAAAGGCGTTTGTCCTGTGGCATTTTTTGGTGTTGTCCGGTCTGCCCATAATATGAGTGGTAACTCGTCGGCCCACTTTCCTTGTGCTTTCTCCAACCGTTTCTTTAGATTCGAGATGATGATCTTGTTGCTTGACTCAGCTTGTCCATTTGATTGTGGATAGCGTGGTGTCGACATCTCTAGTTTGATGTTGTACTTCTCACAGAATCGTCTGGTTTTGATGCTGATGAACTGTGACCCATTGTCGCAGACGATCTCTGACGGGATGCCAAACCTGCTCAAAATATTTCTTTTGATAAAAGATATTACCTGAGTGTCACGGATTTGTCGGAAAGGTTCAGCTTCAATCCACTTTGAGAAGTAGTCAGTCATTGCCAACATGTAGACCTTTTGTCCGGGTGCTTCGGGCAGCTTACCTACAATGTCCATCCCCCACTTCATGAAGGGCCATGGAGATAAGACAGGATGTAGTGCTTCTGCATGTTGGTGTTGCACTGGTGCATGCTTTTGGCACGGTTGACAAGCTTGAGTGTATGCAATGGCGTCATGTCTCATCGTTGGCCAATAATAGCCAAATCTCAAGGCTTTGTTTGATAAACTCCTTCCTGCCGCGTGGTTGCCACATTCTCCTTCATGGAGACTTCTCAGTACTTTGACAGCTTCGTGTGGGGCTAAACATCTCTGATATGGTCCTGCCTTCGAACGTTTAAACAAAACATCATCAATTAATAAAAACTTTGTTACCTTTGACAGGAGTGCCCTTGCTTCTCTTTTGTCACTTGGCAAGATGTTGTGTTTTAGGTAATCTATGTATGGCTGCATCCAGTTGTTGTCTGCGGTTGACTCAATGATGTTGACCACTTCCGTCCTTTCAATGGCTGGTTCTATCACGTGGACAAGTGGTATGTTATCAATGTTTCCTGCCCCCAGACATGATCCGATTGCTGCTAAGGCGTCGGCTTGGACGTTTTCTTCTCTTGGGATTTGCTCAAAGGTGATGTCGTCAAAGGTGTTAGCTAAGTTGGTGACGATTTGTAGGTACGCCGACATCTTTGGATCTTTAGCTGCATAAACTCCGTTGGCTTGATTAATAATTAAAAGGGAGTCGCATTTTACCTCGATTGCTTTTATGCCCATGTTTTGAGCTAAGTTCAGCCCGAAAATTAGTGCTTCATACTCCGCTTTGTTGTTTGTTGCGTTGAAATCACATCTGACAGCTTGTACTATATTGCCCCCTTGTGGCGACTGCAGTACAACTCCAAGTCCGGCTCCATGCATGTTAGAGGCTCCATCGGTGTGCAGAGTCCATTTTTGTTGACGTTGGTCACCAATTAACAAACATATCTCTCTTTCTGCTTCTACTTGTAGTTTTGGACTGAAGTCCGCCACAAAATCAGCTAGAGCTTGTGATTTCAAAGCTGTCCTGGGTTCATACTTGATGTCGTATGCCCCCAGTTGCATCGACCACTTGATCATCCTACCTGTGAGTTCCGGTTTCCTCATGATAGACTTCATGGGATAGTTAGTGCGAACACAAATAGAATGCGATTCAAAGTAAGGACGTAATTTAATTGATGCTGTCATTAGTGCAAGTACTAATTTCTCTAAGAGTGCGTACCTGGTTTCCGGCCCATTTAACGACTTACTCATATAGTAAACCGGCGTCTGTTGGCCGTCTTCTTCCCGCGTTAGTACTGCACTGACGGCATGTTCTGATACTGCAAGATACAACTGCAACTCATCGCCATCTTTGGGTTTGGTCAATAGTGGCGGTGTTGTCATGTATTCCTTCAGTTGTTGTAGGGCTTTTTCGTGCTGTTCTGTCCGTTCGAACTTTTTATTTTTTCTGAGGACATCATAGAAAAGCCGACACCTGTCTGACGACTTTGATATGAATCTATTGAGTGCCGCAACTCGTCCTGCCAGTTTTTGGACATCTTTGATTGACTTTGGGGATTCAATCTCTAGTATGGCTCGAACTTGTCCTGGACTAGCTTCTATTCCTCTTTCGCTGACAATGTATCCCAGGAATTCTCCCGACGACACCCCGAACGTGCACTTGGCCGGGTTAAGTTTCAGGTTGTACTTTCGTAACTTCAGGAATGATTCCCGCAGGTGTTCGACGT